AATGTATGGGATCGGTATCGTGAATACTTATCTATATTTTGGCAATTCATGTGAAGCTCAAAAGTTTTCATAAAAAAAGTGGTGAATGAAGTTCTGAAAAATGGGCATGTAAACTGGAGATGTGGAAATAAACTACGCAGCTGTGACTAATATCGCGGTCAACAGTGTAGCTTCTTTCTCACAGAGGGTGCCACCAAGAGTTTCATGAAGTCGGTAAAAAATACGATAAAGATATTAAATAGGTACCTAAGCGCTTTTATCTTGCGATGGAGTTGTTCTTACTTTTTAACTAGGCTAGTACCGTTGAGCTAGTACTGTGTAATGGGGATAACAAAAGACAAAAATTTACGAGCAAAAAAAAACTAGCAGGCTATGTAAGTTGCCTATGTTAAATCATTTAGCGATTCTCTTTCAAGGTTAAACAGAGCCTGCTTGTAAAAGAATTTGCTGACGGCAAGAAAAAGATCGTTCACTGGTATATTTTTATTTTGTCAACTACTTGCTTCGAAATTTATTTGGTTTCTCTTTCCTATTCATTGCAAAAGGTAACCTCCTCTACCTATCGTTTTATGAAATAAATAATAGAAATGGGGATAGGTAACATTCCTTTATAACAAATATCAAAATTTTACGTTATTTTTAGAACAAAGGGCTGTTGTATATTGTTGTTGATGTCTGGCAAGTTGCGACCTTGTGTGGGTGTTTATTTGTAATGCGATTTGTTTGACCGTCTTCCTTATTCTTTATCTTTGCTTATTGCACTTTGCAGATTAAAATACCGTAATTTATAATCCATACCTTGTTGCAAATTAAATTTTTTGAACTTCAATAGTACCATTGAATAAAGCTCTTTATTCAATGATAGTACCTATTACATATTATTAGTATTAGTTTAGTCAGTTTAGTGTAATGTGTAATAATTGACCTATACAGGGTGATTCAAATTCAAAGGCCACCATGGGGATCTCGGGAACTGTAAGAGATGGGTAGTTTACATTTGACAAAGTTACCCTTGATGGTAACATCATCTAGTTTTAATAAGAAATAACGTTAATTCGTAAAAACGCAAGAAACTACTTACGTACGTTACTTAAGACAAAGGCAAAAAAGATGTTTTACAAGCATTAAAAACATTGATGTGTACATTTTTTAAATCAGAAAAAAATTCTCATCAAATCACACAAAAAGTAAAAATTACTTCCATAAGAAACAAAGTTGATGATAGTTAACCGGAGACGAAACGTCAAACTTCAAATTTAAAAGTAGCATCTTGTAGAGGGAAAAAAGTGGCCATAATAATGTGTGTTTTATTATTAAATATCTTTGTAAATAACTATTAACTTCAGTAAAAAACAAAAACGATTTTCAAAATCTCGTTTTTTCCGGATATCTCCGAAAGTAGTCAGAATTTCAGTTTCAAAACTGTTTTTGTTAAGCATCAAAATACACAACTTTGCCAAATTTACCACCTACCTATCTCTTACATTTCCCGAGATTCCCATGGTGGCCCTCGAATTCGAATCAGCCTGTCAATTACTAATTTACAAAAGACCATCCCTCGAATGTAAGACATTGGGTACAAATGTATATGTATTTAGGTATAAACGGCTAAAAAATTTAAAAAAAATCGGTATACCGTATGTCCCCGGATTGACTTTACGAGAAGAAAAACTTTTACTATACTTTTTGACAAAAATCCATTCTCATAAAAGCTTTTGCTTGTTCTAATTCGAAATGTCCCTACCGTTTCAGAGAAAAATATAAAAAAAACGAAAATATGGTTGAACTTTTCCAAGTCCTAAAAGTCAAAACGCGTCTTTACTGTAATAACATTTCGTTAGTTACAAAGTCTTCGTTACCTGTTATTTGAATAGGCACTAGGATCGTTATAACTTATAAATAAGTATAACAAACACACTTCGTAATGACATTGAATTTCATTAAGTGAAGGAATCAAGAGTTTTACTGAGGGTCCTCCCAAACAAAAAGCCCCTGTCGCCACTTGTGAACCAATTTTACGACCTTAATTTTGAAAGTCCCCCATGCCAATAATTACGCGATTTTTACTTCATAAGTTACGTTACAAGCGGTTCATTATTCTCCTCAAGTTATGTGCGGTAGAGAGCTAATTATAATTTTGTTAACCTAGCAGTCTGTAAGGAGCCGTGAACGACCTTGCGTTTGTGTTTTGTATCTTCTTGTCGTGTGGTTATGCAAATCAAATTGCATTTTTTTAAAGCACCCTCTGTGTTGTTTGGGGCCCACTTAAAGAGAGTATAATGATTTAAATATTTGTATAGAAAACTGCTGTAGTTACGCTATTCATTATTAGGTACCAGCACATTCTAACGAAAAAAACTTTGTCCTTTACTATGGGTACTTCTCTTTTCAGGCAATCCCAGCCTAAAAAAAAAAATCATCTATATGTGTGCGCGTTCACATCCCAAAATAAAAACTTGTGTGTAAATCACAGCAAACATGTACATACGATGAGGAGACATCTTAAGATTTTTTTATAGCAAACAGTGTGATTTGTAGTATTAAATATCTTTTTCCTAAAATGTAAACGATGTGATTCACATATCTCGCGTGATTGTAAATTTTAATTGGCCAACTTTCAATTTATTTCTTTTTGTGCTACCTAAAAAGTACCATTTTTGTACAATGCCATGGTGAAAGAAATTAAAAATAAAACGTCAAACAAGGTACAAACATGTGGAAAATCCTTCTTATTCAGAGGTTAAAAAAAATCCATTTCGAACTGCTGGAATTGATACTTTTCAAATTTGACAAGCTCCGTGTTTAATAAAAAAATTGAAAACTAAACGGTTGATGACGTTTTTAAAAATTTCTACAAAAAATTAATATTTTTTGCTCTAAAATAATTTGGGGAAAAAAAATCGCATGTTATGAATTTTATATGAAATCCCTATAAGCGTTTTATTATTACCATTATTATATACATTATAAGTATCTCATTTTTCTATAAAAGACAAGGTCTGAACATTCCAAGTGCAAGTTATCCTATCATTTTTAAATTGTAAGTTGTAATGTATTTACCAGGCCGGAAATTGCAAAGTGCGCAAGCTTAATATTCAAGGATTTTGTCCGTTTGCACGTACTTCGCAGCAACTTTGAGAACATTTTTCTTGACTTTACATGGGTATATAAAAACTAAACGGGCACCACAGTGCTGAGACTAATTGACCTATAAAGATGATCTATCTATTCAACAATGCAACCTTTTTTACCATAATTCACATAAATATTGCAGGGCATAAACAGGTGAGGTAAAGTTTGTGCCTCTGATTTTTCCTTCACTTGGTTTCACAGCAATAACACTCTCAATTGTACTCGAAAGAGAGATACAGCACAAAAGTACTTAGAGCTCTTGAATCAGACACATGTTGGCGACATAGGAGTAATTGCATGCTCATCGTTGTTTCTACTTTATACAGATCAAGCACGATACATACATTTTTGAGCAAGAGCAACCATGCAATACTGGTACCTGGTACCTCTGAAACTTTAGTAATTTTTGACAGAAATCTTTGTTTTGGATGCCAGGGATACGTTACCTGTAATCTTCATTGATGATTATCAGCCCGCCTGTTTGTGCACTTATTTTCCGCCAAACCACTCGAAACCAAACCGATTAAATCAAACTAAACCTTGTACTTGTTTTTGTTCTAGGCTTGTAACAGAGGAAAAGCTTGAAAATAAATTAAAATATGTGTTACTGTTACTATTGCTACCAGTAATTATATGGTTACTATGCTAAGAGCAATTATAATGCCACAAACTTTTCACAATTTGAGTGTTTTATTTTACGTTCCTTCCCTACTGTGCTTCAGGTCATAGCGTTCTTTACAACTAACGTAAGGGGGCCCTGCCTTAGATGTTTTATCACGTGCCACTTTTCAAATTTAAGCGGGATCTCGTTTAGTTTTGGAGGAAATTGTCATTCGCGTCTATGACTTGCATTTAATTTGTGCCTGTGTGACCATTTTTGGCGAAGCGATTTTACGTTCGAATTAGGTGCTTCCGACGACAAAATGCAACTTTTTTTTTTGATAGTAATGAAAAAATCAGGGATGATTCACCTTAATTTTTTATTCAATGCTTAGATTTAGGCTTTTGCGTCCGCCCGGTCAGTCGCAACTGCCAGCATTTATATCGCGTCTTCAACGAATTGCCAGGTTTTCAGGGACACACTCAATTTTTCACACAAAACCCTCTCCCACTATTAATTTACGATCGCGCAACTTGTCGCATCCACGGCCCCAAGCGTAATTCTTTCTCTGTTTAACTTATTTCTGAACGAAAACCCGACTCTTTAACGTTTACCTTCCACGGACCATCTCCCTACTATCTTCAACCCCAAAAATATCCCCCAAAATTGCTGCTAATCGTATCCGCCAACCGGGATTCGATTCTTTTTACTAATCTGATTTTTAGAAAAGCTACTTGCTAGAACTCTCGGCCGCGGTGACCTAGTTGAAATTTCTCATCCGATAACGAAGCCGGACGATCACGTACGTATATCTCATTAATTTTTGCTTATGACGCGTGAAACTGTCGCCTCCAATCTTTCACGCGCAATTAATAGTCGGGGCCGTATCCGGGGACTATTCGTATAAAAGTTTACGCAACAACATCCAGACACTCAATTTGATCGACCGTCGCTGTTTAGGTGTATTGGGTGTACTTATACCATCTTGGAGTAGGATTTCTGATTTTTTTTACAAAAACAGAAAAGACATGCTCAAAAACCTAGCTAAGTCGCAAGATCCATTTTACAACTATGTGATGGTTGGCGTCAATAATTAAAGAAGAAACGCGGAAATCATACTTGAGATTTTTATGTGCCTTACATGAGCAGATACAGTGCATTAGCGTGCCTTAGTCTTCTTCCTTGTATAACCAAGGAACCTTTACACCCTCTCATCCATCAGTACTTTTAGTACAATATTTAAGACACCTTCACCTACAACTATCCCAAAATACGCGAATACACGAATCATTTCCTCTATTTTTCCTTCATTGAGTGGGCTACAGAGTTCAGAAAATGTAATTAGGTTTATTTTGAACGCAAAACAGTGATTGATCGTAGTCCCATGTAGTTCATGGTAATATGTTTATTGTTTTAAGGATTACTTTCACCCATTTGTTGCATACCACTGCTTATTCTTTGACTGAATTGAGTACTTTAGGTGTGTTGAATGTCGCATGTTTCAGATCGTTCCCAGCAATCTTCCATTAGTGATGAACATGGCATACAAAAAACTGATTCACAACATAAGGCACATAAATTACGTTTTGTTTCTTCTGTAGAACTTAGACACTCTTCAGGTAACTGTCTTCCTTTTGTACATATATTCAAGTATTTTTCTCACCAGCTGTAATTGTCGCAATATTTGAAATTTGCGACAAGTGCATGGTTGATGCTTTTATTATAGATGATTACTTATATAGCTGTAAATTCCGCAGGAGAAACCTCCACAACGCCTTTAAGTCCGGGAAGTCCAGCGGATGATAGTTCCGGCGAGTTGCACCCGAACAAGCCGCGCCTTCAAAGAGTCAAGGTTCAGAGTCGTAAAACTTTTCGATTGCGCAAGAGTCGCAAAAGTCGCATCGAAGTTTCGCACATTAATATTGAACCAGAAGAAATACCTGCAGTGACCACGCCATCCCAGACGACCTCGCCCACAACTATCCTCTCCGAACAAACTCCGGCAGAGCTATCGGTTACGTCGATTCCACAGCAGGTCTTTGAGCCTAACAAACTGAGAATATCCTTTCGCTCTAAACCTACTGAGGGATCGTGGGACGAAGATAGCGCAATTTCTCACACATCAAGCACGTCAGGCTACAGGGAATCCTACCCCGTAATGCAACTTAAGGAATCCTTAGACTCGAGCCCCAAACCTTGTCCCCCACTTGCTTCGCCAGACATTCACGATCTGCCCTCAACAAGTAGCGCGGCGACCAATTACATCCACGGTGACAACAGCTCGCCGGATTGCTCTTTAAATGAAAATGGAGAACGTACAGCTCTATTAAGCCCAACGGAGCGTTCATCGTCCCAGCATTCTCTACTTATGATTTTTGACTCGCAGGATGAAACCACACTGATATAAATCCTATGGTTTATAACTAATAGCATTGATTATACACGTGTATAATCAATGATTATAGTAATCAAGGACTCGATTTATCAACCTAACGTACAGGATACTTCAAACAATCGATATGGCAAACGTACCTCCGGAATTATTGCAATCATTCGCGCAATTAATTGCAACCGCTCTGCGGGAAAATGCTGGTGGAAACCCAAACGTCCAGGCGGAGGCCACAGTTTCCCACTCAAAACCACCGGGATTTTCTATGTCGGAATATCGTACGACAGATGGTACAACGGTACAGGACTATTTCAAGAGATTTGATTGGGCACTCGAACTAAGTAAGGTACGTGAAGATCAATTCGCAATGTATGCTCGTGTTCACATGGGTTCTGAGCTAAATAATGCACTCAAATTTCTTGTTAGCCCAGCAGAACCTGAAACTGTGTCATATAATGATTTAAAACAAACACTGATAAATCATTTTGATCGTGCAACAAATAAATATGTAGAGAGCATACGTTTCCGGAATATTGTTCAGCAAAAAGGTGAATCATTAACCAATTTTGTCCTTCGCTTAAAACAAGGAGCTGCCAAATGTGAATATGCAGCATTTCTTGACCGCATGCTAATCGAACAACTACTTAATGGGCTGGAATGTCGGGAAATGTGTGATGAAATCATATCAAAGAACCCGGAATCATTTAAGAAAGCATATGAAATCGCACACACATTGGAGGCTACACGTAATTCGTCAAATAATGTGAGGACAGCACATCCATCGGCAACTGTGGAAAGTACAAACAAGCTAGGGTACGCGCCACCAAAGAACAAGTACAAGAAGTCTCAATTTCATAAGCGATCGTCATCACGTGGGCAAATGCAAGATCTCAAGGGTTCTCAAGGAATCGGCCAAAACAGTAATGATGTTCAATCATCATGCAATGGGTGCGGTGGTCAACATGCACGTGTCAAATGTCCTTTTCGAGATGCCTCGTGCCACACTTGTAACAAGAGAGGTCACATCTCAAAGGTATGTAGAAAAAAGTCATCTGCTCAGAGTACCACTAACCAAGTAATTGAAGCGCCTCAACCGGCCAATTATATTGATATTCTCCATCAATTTAACACAATTAATGAGATAAATGGAATGTCTAAGCAGATGATCAACGTAAACATTGATGGTCATGATATTAAAATGGAATTGGATACAGGGGCACCTTGTGCCATTATGAGCAAACAATGTTTAGATTCAATTAATCCTAACTTACCATTAAAGAAATCTGACCGCCAGTTCAGCAGCTATACAAAACATAGTATTAATTGTATTGGTATAACATCTGTCCGAGTTACAGTTGGCAAAACGTCAAGAACTTTGGATCTTTATGTTGTGGAGGAGAATTATGACTCTCTTTTTGGACGAGAATGGATAAGGGCTTTTGTTAACGAAATCAACTTTATTCAACTATTCTCTTCACGTGATCAACTCCATACAATTTCTTCAAAGGTGCCACAACTTTCTCGAGAGCAGCAGCAACAAATTAGTAACTTGCTATCACAATATGATGACATATTCAGCAACACGGCAGGGAAACTAAGCGGACCACCAGCTCAAGTACACCTTAAGGCAGATGCAGCACCGGTTTTTGTTCGCGCCCGAGAGATACCTTTGGCCTTACGTTCCATATATGCTAAGGAGATCGATGACAAGATAGCAGCTGGATTCTTCGAAAGGGTCGATTATTCAGAGTGGGCTTCGCCAACTCATGTAGTAGTGAAGAAAAATGGTAACATTCGCATCACTGGGAATTATAAGCCAACCGTAAATCCACGGATGATCATTGACGAGCACCCCATCCCGAAAGCGGAACACATTTTTGCTCGGATGAAGCATTCCAAACTTTTCTGTCATCTGGACATCACTGATGCCTATACACACTTAGCAGTTGATGACAAATTTCGCGAAGTATTGACGTTGAATACACCAACCCATGGTTTGATTTGTCCGACCAGAGCTATCTATGGATCAGCGAACATCCCAGCCATATGGCAACGTCGGATGGAAACGGTTTTGAAGGACCTTCTCAATGTCGTAAACTTCTTTGATGACATCCTTGTCTTTGCCGAAAGTTTTGAACAACTGCTGAGAACACTTCAAGCCACCCTGGACCGAATGCGCCAACATGGGTTACGCCTCAACCGATCAAAATGTGTCTTCGCCACAAACTCAGTAGAATTCTTAGGACACAAAATCGATGAACGAGGTATTCACAAATCTGACAGCCATATTCGAGCAATACGAGACGCACCAAAACCGTCAACGCCAGAGGAATTAGAATTGTTCATTGGTAAAGCAACCTATTACAATCATTTCATTCCAGACCTAGCAACGATAAGTCGTCCACTCAGAGATATGTTGCTGGCAGAATCATTTACATGGACACCTGAAGCAACACAGGCTTACAACGAATTAAAAAATATTTTAATTTCGCCACAAGTCCTGATGCCTTATGATCCATCTCTCCCACTAGTATTGGCAACAGACGCAAGTAAAATGGGTCTAGGAGCAGTCTTGTCGCATCGCTTGAGCAATGGTGTAGAAAGGCCAATTGCTTACGCAAGCCGCACATTGAGCCTTACAGAACAGCGGTATCCTCAAATGGATAAGGAGGCTCTTGCCATCGTCTGGGCAGTCGATAAATTTTTTTATTATATATATGCTCGCCATTTTGTCTTAATAACAGATCACAAACCTCTCGCACAAATTCTTCAGCCTACGAAATCTCTTCCAGTTTTGTGTATTAGTCGAATGGCGAACTATGCCGACTATTTGTCACATTTTAATTTTGATGTTCAATACAAGCCAACTAAACTTAACACAAACGCTGACTATTGTTCTCGCTTACCAGTAACAACGACCCACAAATCAACACATGCTGTGTCATCAATCGTACTGGAGAGAGAGGAAGAAGAAGACGGGTTTGACAACTTCACCCTAAATCAAATTAAACAATTACCTGTTCGAGCTAAAGACATATCTAGGGAATCGCGGAAGGATGATCATTTGGGGAAAATAGTACAATTGTTGGAGAGGGGACGAAATCTTGGTCGCTATGGATACAAGGCCCCCGAAAAGAACTACACCCTCTCTGGTGGATGTTTGCTGTTTGAACACCGAGTTGTCATTCCGCCAATCTTCCGTCAACCTATCTTAAACGATCTACATGCTGCACATGTCGGCATTGTAAAAATGAAAGGAATTGCTCGATCCTTTGTGTACTGGCCTGGGATCGATGGAGAAATTGAGCAGGTCGCAAAATCTTGCAATGAATGTGCAAAACATGCACACGTACCTCCAAGATTTCGAGAACACCATTGGGAGTACCCGAAAGGGCCTTGGGAGCGCGTGCATATTGATTATGCTGGGCCAGTAGCCGGCATGATGTTACTAATTTTAGTAGACGCATATAGCAAGTGGGTTGAAGTAAAAGTAACAGCGTCGACTACAGCCTCATCAACTATAACCATCCTCGACGAATTATTTGCAACATACGGCGCACCAGTCACCATTGTTTCGGACAATGGTCCTCAGTTTACATCTGAAGAGTTCAAACAATTTCTCCAGTGGAGTGGAGTGAAATATCACAAGTTGTCAGCTCCGTATCACCCATCAACGAACGGTCAAGCAGAGCGCTTCGTACAAAGCGTGAAAGATGCTCTTAAAGCAATGGGCACTAACCGAGATACGTTGAAATCAAACCTTAATGAATTTCTACGCCAGTACAGAAAAGCCCCAAACGCTACCACAGGACAACAACCCTCTCTTCTTTTCCTTGGTCGTGTCATACGTTCGCGACTAGACTTGGTGAGACCCGAAGATACGTATACCAGAATGACGGAAAGAAACCGTAACTCGTTTAATCCATCATTTCGCGAGTTTCAACCAAATCACCTGGTTTACTTCTTATCTGGAAATCCACGACTGGATAAATGGTTACCTGGACGTATTATAACACGCCTAGGTGATCTGCATTACGAGATCGACTTTGAAGGTAAACGCTTTAAACGTCATATTGATCAAATCCGGTCATGCCAACAAACTACTAGTCAAAGTTCTAACCAATCTATGACGACATCTTCAAGTGATAATTCTTCAGCACAGAGACGAGTTCATTTCTATAATAAACCTGAACTGGTTCCTGAAAGAGCTGCAGAATTACCCGAAGCACAAGCTGTTGCGATTCCGCCAGGATCACCAGCTGTACCTCAACGACAGGAGTTCCAGGCCGCGACTCTACCCCAGACTGAACGAAGGTCCACGCGGATTCGGCATGCACCCCGACGATACTCTCCTGATTAAGAAAACAAAGGAGGGAAGAATTGTAATGTATTAGGGAATTTTACTATTATAATTGGTAACGGAACCTACCGTACCGGGAGAACTTCATGTATATATGTATGTAAAAATGACAGTGCACAATAAATGTAATTATGTTGAATTATATTTTCGTATTTTACAAGTATCATACATAACATAAATGGCGGCGGTCACTTCGGAAAAACCAAAACAAAATTACGGTAAGCTCCCTAGCGGGAATGAAAGCAACAAAACACAAATGAATTAGCGGTTTTTACGGGAAAGCAAATGCAGGAAAACGAAACCCCTTATAATTAATGGAACAGAAAGTGAAACTTGCGCATTACTTGCTGTGTAGAAAAATATCGTTACGCGTAATTGCACATGATTTATTCACAAAGTAAAACACTTTTATCGAAATACCTACACAGAGTCGCTAGCTTTAGTGGTACCATTGATTGCAAATGGAGGGGCAATTGTTGCCTGTGTGATGGTCTTCGTATTGGCTGACAACAGCTCTTTAAGATTGTCAGGTAGTAAGTAGTCCGTGTAAGCGATTCGACTAAAATTGGTCTCGATCGGCAGGGGAATGTGCAATGGATCAAACCCGCTATGGTTGTGTTTTGGATCGAAGATCTTCAAGTCCACCTCTTCGTACCTTGAAGATTACTTGATTTCAGATCATCTTGTAATTGCTACTTACGATTGATCAGAATCTGTTGAATTATCTGCATCTGTTAAAATACCAACCTCGTAGACCACAGTCCGTATTACATATCTGCGAAAAATTAATTGTTACACTACTAAAAGGTGCAAGGGGTGTTTTACTTACAGATCGTGTGCAGTTCCATTAGTGTTATTCCCTTCGACGGGGTATTCACTTTCAAATTCCGGTAATATTGGTAGTGCAAGTGTGGTTGAAATCAAAAGGATTGACATACACGAACTGATCCATACCTGGGGAGCATGTTTTGAATTTTGCACCCTCTCCTCCATCAGTACTTACATTATTCATTTTAGTGTGGCCCACTGTCGCAGGTAACTAACTAAAATACACATCGCTCACCTGATATTTATATTTCCGCGCAATTTATTTTTCACACTTTATCATTTTCTTGGAAGCCTTGTGTACGCTAGAAATTAGCACTTTGATGGCTTTCATTTCGTTAACAGAAATCAAGATTTAATGAGTTTCCATTAGTATTACTCTAGCATTACAGGGTTGAACCAATTTACTTCTCGAAATTACACTACGTAGTCTCTCTAAGAAGAATAAGGAAGGACAAAACAATCAAATTGTGCGAAAGATTCGTCGTATTTCTAAACGACGAAGGTGCGAAAAGAAATCGATTATTAAGAGTGATAATTTCTATTATTATGTTTGTTTTGTCAATTATACAACACATGTCGGCAGAAACAATAGAATATTTGATCAGCAGTCGTTTTCTGTAGTCTTTTACCAAAAAATTGGTCTACTAATTATAACTTTCAGCGACTAGCAAATGTCTTTTGCTTTGTATAAATTTTGCACTAATATGCGTTAAAAGAAAATACCATAGGGACCTATAGCGACGCCAGTGGGATGGAATCACGTTCTATTTTTCTCGTGGAGCAATGTTTTCGATAGACTTTCGCAGCTGTCTTATCCAATGAATGCTCTACTAAGAGTTTCCGTTCCTACACACCTCAAACACCAAGCAAAAGGTTTAATTTGGTCACTTGGTTTCATTACAAGATAAACGATATAATTTAAATAATTGACACCGTCTTTAGATAAGTTCTACTCCCGCGCTATTTTTCTAAAAACATAGTACGAATTCTTCGAAATAAGGTCACCGAGCGTACAGGCAATGTCGCAAATTAAAAGTTTTCTTTACTTGTAACGACCAAGTACAATTAATTGTATTGATCACGAGCGCCACGTAACGTAGTTTTTTTTCCGCACAAGTTTATGCACTGGTTTAAAGTATGGTGCTACTCTAATTCAGACCCACAAACCATTTACGTTTAACTATTCTCTCTTTAATTTTCTATGACGAAACGAGCAAGCAATTCCCACAATGACGTGCGCTGTAATCCAATAATCCACCCGTATTTAATTCCCCTACTGCCGTCTCCAAACGATTCTACCTACGCAACCTTGTAGCTAGCCCGGGACCCTAGAAAACGTGGCAACAGCGGCAGCTTTTCTAACTACGTTCGTGTTATCGCTTGTTTATCGATATACCCACTCGCGTTCACCTTTCATATGAAGCGGTACATATGTAAATTTTCCTATACTTAACTGAAATTTGAAAAATTTAAATTGCAAAGCGAGCTACCGTGTCACGTGGAGTAGGTAAACGTCCATATACTGCTATGTGGACCCTCTGATCGCTCAGTATGAATGACCCACATGAAAATACAAAATACTGAAAGATGATGTAGAACTTTAAATTTAAATTTACAAACAAAATTTGTTGGCTAATTGAAAATTTACAAGTGACCATGGTATCTTAAGGAGCCTTTCTTTTAAATTGAATGACTTAAAATAAAGAAACAAAAGAAACTATATAATTAATCAAATATTGAAATTATTATTATACCCTTAAGATATAACTCACGGCAGTTGAAAAACAATAGAGTAACTAAATTTCTACAATTAGTTTTCTCCTAAAGTTGCATCGATCGCCATAGAAATTGCCTTGCTTCATGATTCTCTACGTGGAAGTTCGTATTTGTGGTTGATAGGAATTCACCACGGCCCGTCCCGCTCAGATTGAAGAGATTTGCTTGCCGGATTTATACATATTCAGCTTTCCTGATGTTAAGGTGCGCGTGTGTTGAATATCGGATTAATTACTTTACAGATAAAAGTTCATCGACGTCGGTTCGACGTGATTCACGTATTGCACGGGTAGAATATATTATTTCGTGCGACTATATGTTTGTTGCAATTTTTAGTTTGCGCGATTGTGAAACGAAATTAATTTGGTGTCGCTCAAATCTGCGAGAGAAAACCGCTCATTTGTCCGCTCTCCCAAAAATGCACCCCGACCTGCTCGTCTCCCCCTTTCTTACTTTAAACTTTCCTTTTTATGTTGCTGAGTAGACAAACTGATACAAGCCCAAACGCACCAGGGTGCTTCGTATCTGCCCACATGTCTTCGATAGTTTCGGATGGACATGTTAATTAAGAATTTTAAAAAAATGTGCTATTTTGCATACACATGCCTTTAGTGGTGCTAACTTAAACTTTGGGAAATTCGGGGGGGGGGGGGGGGCGTAAACAAATGTTCTACCCTTCATGGTATTCCAATGAAAGGTCTCATCGAAATAAATTGGTTTGTACAAACTATAACTTTCCTGTGCGACTCTTCTTCGAGATCAGTGAACGATGGGGCCTGAGGGGGGGGAGGGAGGGGGGTTAAAAATTAATGTTATCTGCAAGCGCTCTTATCAATCCACTTCCACTTTTTCTAAAAGTTTCGAAATATTCCAGAAAGCCACAATTTGAGTCGAACTATTGACCGCAAAACAAAATGTTATCAATTATTGTCTTATCTAGACGAATTTTGATATAGAAAATAATGCTTTACACAAATTTTTAAAAATAAGCAAATTCCGTGCAAGACTCATAACTTTTACAATGTCTTATCAATTGAAATAAATGCAATAATTTTCCGTTTTTATCAAATAGTGGCCTAAGTTCAAATTAAATAAATGACAAACCATCTAAACTCTAGGCGCTTTCTTTCGACTGCTTAGCAATCATGATTCCAAAATCGTGATTCGTAGGATCACGTTTTACGAAAGAACGCGCGAATTTAAATCAAAGTATGGTTAAGTTTACGTAGTACACATTTGCATTCGAATTACGTATTTTTTGTTTGGATTATGAAAATAATTTAAATACAAGTGGAAGTACTTGCACAATTATGCCCCTCTTCAGTTACATATATTGACTAATCGAACATTTGAGCAAAAATATCCTTGCATTGATAGGTTAGGAATTCATGATCATAAAACTTTTATGTTCAGCTTGTTCACGATTTTAGCAATCATGATCATAAGATCACACTTCGAAAGAACGTGATTTGACAATCCAAACGCGTTTGGATCACCGAAAGAAAGCGCCTTCTATATAGCAGTGTTTCTCAAACTTTTTTGTCTGTCGGCACACTAAAATTATTAACCAAAATTCGCGGCACCACTAGTATTATTTTTTGCTTTTTTACAGTTAGTAAAAAGATGAAGGATGAGGTCTTTACAAAAAAAATTTCTAAACACAAAAGCATTTAAAACTAGTTGTCAAAAGTCGACCTACTTTTAATAGTCATTGCAATTATTATCTTTGGTCATAGTATAACATTTAGAGAATGCCCTCTAGCGCCTTTATTTTGAACCCGACGCAAAAAGTGTAGAAGCCTTTTTTGCAGACCTCATCAAGACACATCTTTTTGTAATTGACATTTTTCACTCTGATGCTTACTTTTAAAGAAAAATGAAATTTAGAAAAATAAAATAAATAGTTTAACTTTTCAATTCAAAACTTCTCAAAAAGAAAGGAACTCACAAAAAAATTGTAATGAACTTTTTTGTAGAGTTTCTTAAGCCATTTTGGCCAGTGTATGCGAAAAAAATTTGAAAAAATGGTTTCAAGCCATTATGACTTAAAATTTTGACACTCTCAACAACCTTGAAGATGGTTACGGATCAAAACCAAAATAGGAGGTTTTCGATTCCCCATACCACCCTAGATCTATCTTTTACAGATTTGCTTTAGAATTAAACGTATAATCTAAAAATCGAATAAAATACAAGTTATGCCATTTAGAATGTTGAGGACTGTGGATCGCTTTTGGGACACCCTGTATAAATAACACTATCAAATTTAAAAAATTGTGCTTGGGCCAACCAACTTTAGTATTAAACTTATTTTTACAAAACCCGAGTGCTATAGTTCCACAAGCGGCGGTTCTCTTGACCCATGTGTAAGCGCTTGCACCTCGGCTTGCACTCTTCTGCCCTCTTTTCTTTCAAGATTCCTTTAGAATACCTACTTGGTCCATTTTTCCAAATATAGTATGCAAATTCTGCTAGACTGAAGTTAATTTTTGGTTAGCATTTTAAGTAGTTATAAAATTCCATTAAAGATATGAAAGTAGCACACTACCAAGTGTTAAATGCCTGTAACGAAGCACCAGTTTTCGTACACGAATTCGATCAGAATTAATAAAAGCACCGTACATAGAGAGACACCACCAGCAGTTGAGTCCAACGGGGCAATATTACCAGTCGTTAATGAATACAAAAATCTTGGATTGATTTTTGACTCCCAATTACGTTTCAAAAAGCATATATCTCAAATAATTAATAAAGCGTTTACAAATATTAAACTAATATTTAATAGCCGATTTCTTATTAATCGTAGTATTAAGGTTATGCTTTCTGAATCCTTAGTGCTTTCCCAATTTAACTATTGTGATAGTGTGTATGGCCCATGTATCGACAAAAGAGACTACAATCGAATTCAGAGAATGCAGAATTCTTGCCTTAGACTAATATTTGGTATCCGAAAATACGACCGGATTACACATAAATTAAAATCCCTCCAGTGGCTTGATATGAACAACAGAAGAATATTACATTCTGCCTGTTTGTTCCATGGCATACTTCAAACCAAAACTCCGTCATATTTATTTGAAAAGGTAACATACAGAGCTGACGTCCATAATGTCAATGTTAGAGATCGGTTTTTTATAACTATACCTACTCACAAAACGTCACTATTTAAACGCTCCTTCAGTTACAATATTGCAAAGACGTATAATGAATTACCATCTCATTTAAAACCTTTATCCGAAAGTCTTTTTAAAAAACGCTTGCGCCTCATACTCCTTGCAACGCAGCATTAAGTTCCATCGTTAATATCATTATTGCTATAATTTTTTTTTTTCTTTTTACATTTTTTTTTTTTTTTCTTCTTTTTAGGTTTTCATTTGTGCCTTCATACTGAATGGTTTTTATTATCATATAGTTTTTTCTTGCTAGGTTTTTTTATGTCTTGGTCTCTTGTTGTTAATTTCATATGTAGGGGGTTGAGTGGTAGAGCAGACGGAATAACACGGTTTATTCCAGTCTGAACTTCGCCCTATTGAGTCACACGTTATGTAATGTAATGTATAATATCTGTTCTTTGTATGGTGTGTGCTCAATAAATGTCATTATTATTATTATTATTAATGACCACCCACTATATGGACAAGCTTCGTTACTAAGAAAAAGTAGTTTTTACATTTACTTACTTTCTTGTGGGAGTGAGAAGTAAGGTCAAAGTCAAGGTAATGTTTTAACCCTTAGAGCCGTTTAACCGCTGCCGAACGTAATTGGGAAGTTTCTAATGTTCCCGTAGAGATATGTAAACTATTTTTGTAGCATCCAACAGTCCTGGGCAAGGGGAAGCAGGGGAATTTCAGCTCAGTTTTACTATGTTAATTTAAAACGAGCGTTAAAGCTGCAAGGTGGTGCAGTTTCTTTCATTATCGCAGATCTTTTGCCATTGCCTCGAAATTCTGGGTAACTTTGGACATAACTGGGCTACCGAATTTGGAAACTTTAATCCGGCCAATTAAGTGAGTACAATTAATCGTAGTTAATTAATTATGTTGGAGCCAGCTTGGGCCGAAAGTCACTTAATTAACAGGAATTTCAAGATTACTTCCTGATTTTCAGGACGACATGGAGCCTGATAATTAAATAGAGAAGTTTTAAATTTTGAATGCTATCAACCAAATGCCAACAGGATTAGGAAATCCGAGTTCCATTTCCACATCCTTTGGGAATTCTATATAAGATAATAACAGCATGATTTAGAGGGGATCTTTTGCATTTTTCGCTTTGCTCGAAGTTCAAAGGAGGCTTGATATTTTTTTCATTAATTATTAAGAGGGTTTATTTTCTTGTTTCGCTTCCTCGTAGCTAGTAGGTACCGTTAGTGGATTTGTGCTTCCGTTCTCGCTTTGGGAAATCGCTACGGTTTTCGTGTGCCGTAATTCGGTTTTAGGTATTCGCCAGCGACCGCCGCCATTTGCCATTTTTAGCGCATTTCCACAAAAATTAAAAAAAAATGCGCTATTGTGGCCACTTTGTCCGTCCGTCCGTCCGTCCGTCCGTCCGCTAACTTTGCGACGCTACTAGTTTTTTTATCTTAAGAGCTATTGTTCTACTTTTTTCGCTATTTGGTTCGTTATGGTGTCGAGTCTTGTACCAAGGAAGGAATTTTTTCTGTACCTCTTACAAAAAAAGTTATTGTAAAAGAAACAAAAAACCGTTTTTTATATGTTCCATAATTTTACACTTTTGCCGTTTATTAACGATCCTAGAGATCGTTTATAATTTTGCATTGCTATCTGTCGCCTGCCGGTTGGTCTCTCCGTCTGTTCCTTTGTCTGTCTGTCCATCTATCTGTCCGTGTGAACCATAACTTTGTTTAGAAATGTTTGATCGCTTTTACATCTCCGTTAGTTATGAACTGAATTGCATGAAATTCAATATGGGCATAGATTTAGCCATATAATACGCAATGCCAAAAGTTGAATCGAATAGATTCAAAATTCACAGTGCCCTTTTCGCATCTCGACCATTTATAAACCGAATTGCAAACTTTTTTACTTACAAAAGTATTTGAATGAAATTTGATACATAGGCACTTGGAATAAAGGAAAATCAAACGCCAATTTCAAAATTTGGTTTTGCGCATGCGCAGTGCCAACTTTTTTATTTATGGAAGAATTTAAACGAAATTTGATACATAGGCACTT